GTGCAACACATGAAGTGCTGGTAGAGTGCTCTTTAGGTGTTGCCTTCAACTCAATTTGTGAATTCAAATTCAGAAATAACCATAATACCTCTGTACATTCCCTAGGCTATAGCTGTCCACCTTTCACTTGTCACCCTGCTACTCTTCAAACTGTTATGGTCCTTCTGTTACTTTCTTTGTTATCTCTACTTCTTTACTTGTATTCCATTGTGTAACTGAAAAGAACACAATAAGCAAGGAGAAGAGGGGAATGTCTACATGCCAGACATTTCTTTATCATCTCTATTTAGTTGTATATTAAAAGTAGATGTGCATTGCTCTTTGGCAGCTTAAAAAACCATACAAATTAAATAGCTGGATAAAGGACAGGGGATATAACTAACTTGACAGCAAAAGCCTTACATGGGGAAAATATCCAGAAACAGACACATAATTTCTACTTCCTCTTGTCAAGTAAATTGGCTGTATATATTGTCATTTCCAGATTAGAAACCATGAATCCACTGCATGAACTGTAATGTTCCTTGCAGAGATTGCCAGAAAGGAGGGAAGAGATCACAGCAGTATACACATACATGCACATTGCATAGTGATTTGAGTGTTGCACTATGACTATAGAGACCAGGGTTCGATTCCCTGCTAAGTCATAAAACCTACTCGGTGATCTTGGGCAAGTAACATGCTCTCAGTCTCAGACAAGGGTAACAGCAAACCTCCTCTGAACAAATTTTGCCAAGAAAACCCCAAGGTAGGGTTATCATAATTCAGAAATGACTTGAAGGCACACAACAACAATAACAACAACGACAACAACAACTGACAGAAAGGTGGGATCAGAGCACAGCAATGTATATACAGTGAACTACATCAAGGATCAGATTAGTCAATGTCTTAAATGTCAATCTAGCAGTCTCCACAATCAGTACATTCCCCATTTTACTTGCCAAGATACATGGCGTGACAACCATGGAGGGCAAACACAACAGTGATAAGTAGCCAATGGTGTAGAGTGAGGGCAGGAAAACACAAATTATCTTGATGTACAACAGAAAGGACAGGGTGAGCTGGAAGCATTAATGCCATTAGTATCAGCAGACCCTAATTTAATATCTAATCTAATTCCCATTCCTTGTAGCAAATTTAAGGAAGCCTGATGTGGCAACTGAAAAGGACTATGACACAGCCTCAGCTAGGGTAAACAGGAAATATACTTCAATAGGAGCTGAACTTTATCAAACCTTAGCAACAATGGAATAATTCAATTCAATTCAATCAGCTTAGACATCTGATAGAGGACCATTGTTTAACCAAACATTTTAAGGACTGCACCTGAAAATGGCATTTTCAAATACAAAGGCACGAACAGGAATAAATCCATGACTTTGTAGGATTTACTCTCTGATCCATTCAATTTATTGGATTATCAGTCTTTCTGAGCCCCATGCACAGAACACTTGAGTTAATTAGTATGTGATCTAAGACTGAGTGAAGTAATCATTTATTTCAAACCAACAACATAGCTTTCTTCCTAAGCCAAGTACTAGATTAAACATGTCTGTGAGCAACAGACAAGTTTGAACAAGGATGCTATTACTGAAAATGCAAAGTTCCTGTATAGCACTATAGCAAATATATTTCTACACTACTTATCAGTGCACTTAAGCACTCCCTAAGTGGTTTACAATGTGTAAGCTAATTGCCCCCAACAAGCTGGGGACTCATTTTAGTGACCTACAGAAAGATGCAAGGCTGAGTGGACCCTGGAGCCCTGCCTGGGATCAAACTCACAACCTTGTGGCTATGAATGGCTGCAGTACTGGAATTTAACCACTGTGCCACCAGGTGTAGAGAATCAAATGCAACATATCAGTCAGAGAGAATCAAATGCAATGATTATGAGGCTTGTTGGACAGCAACAAGCGCTAGAACCCATACGTAGTTAGGCTGAAATGCAACTGGATGGCTACAAGGTAAGGTTAGCTCTTTATGCTGTTATAGAGGCAGTATGGTGTAATGATTTGAGCACTGAACTAAGACTCTGGAGACCAGGGTTCAAATCCCTGCTTGGCCACAGAAATCCACTTGGTTATCTTAGGCAAGTCACACTCTCTCAACCTCTGAGGGAGGCAAAGGCAAACATCCGTCTGGACACATTTTGCAGGAAAAAAAACATGATAGGGTCTTCATAAGTCAGAAACTACTGGAAGGCACACAACAACAACAACAACAACAACAACATATTTGTAGACTTATATCAATTTAGCAATTTGTCACTTGCTTGGTTTGTCTGCCACAAGCAGCATCCCAATTCCTCAATAAGGACTAACACCAACTGCCCTGAAACACATTGTTATGACAGCTTCTCAGTTAAATTCCATCATTTCAATACTTGTGTTATTAGCCAAAGCAGCAGCACAGGGATGGAAGAAAGGGAAGAGAGTAATGAATGATGACCTTTTTCACTGAAAAGTCGTGCTAGAATGTGGAAGATTCTTAGAGAATTCTAAGCATTTTTCTTAATTTATAGTTAAGAAATCCCCAACACTAATTTAATATTAAACTTAATGGGACTTATTTCCAAGCAAACATATACAGGATTAGGATACAATGTGTTTTTTCAGAGATTTACTACTGTCATAAATACAAAGACCATTTCATTTATAGATCACCAGGTCTCAATATTGTCAAGAGATAGTTCTTCAGTGATTTGGAGAATACATAAATATACAATGGATTTTTGTAATGTGAAGTTTAAAATAACATGAGAACCATTATGAAGGGTACTGTATTATACACTTTTCATGATGAAGGCATTTAGGAATAGGAAAATATATCATAGTTTCTTTACAAATTATAAGTCGATTAGCTAATTTTAGAAAAATATGTTAAGACAACACATTATAGAAGAAGTTAAATCACAATTTCTAGAGGAAAATATAGTACTATTAAGAGCAATCAGTTGGTATTACAAGGAAGTCTTTTATATTTTTGTATTTAGTGTGTAGTGTTCTGTTTTTAATGGTGTCAATGTGTGTAATGTCAGTAAATTTTGTTGTTTTTTTATGTTTGTATTCTAAATGTTTTATTTTGTTTGCTATTATTGTATACAATTTTTCAATAAAAAATTAATAAAAAAAGAGATAGTTCTTCAGATCTGGGGGGGTTGGGGGGGAATCCTGTGTGATTAAATTTTACACTTGGGAGAAGCAGAGGCAGGTAGGTTAATTACACTGCCAAATAATCTCACTGAGTCAGATGAATGAAGTTCCCCCTAAGAAAATAATCTCATAAAACCAATTCAGTTGTGCTACCTGGAGTCTAAGACCCCCAGTCACTAACAATTTCATTAAATAAAAGCATTTTGCAGACTAGAAAACTTTTCTGTTTAAAAAAGCCCTTTACTTTCCCTTTCTGAAATTCTATACATACTGTTCTTAAACTTTCCTCAGTTGTCACATAAGAAGCCCAAATTTCAAATACTGTTCAGTGTATTTAATGGCATTAAGGCCAAAATGAAATGTCATTGTCCCAGGACCACTGTATATAGTCATGTATAAGTCTAGAAATTTTAGTCAAAAAATTGACCCCAAAAACCTGTGTCGACTTATCCATGGGTCAATATAAATACTATAATTTAATAGTTATTTTAAAAAGGAAGGATACCCTCATGAAAGGCAAGAACATAATCTGTCCTGGAAGTACTGACCCTCCTCCATTATCTCATCCATACAGTCTTTAGTATGAACACAGTTAATGTCTGCTGGAATTTTGTATGTTCTTTGACATTATTTTATTTTGCATCATCCTTTACATCCTTTGTTACATGCCCTTAAATTTTACCTTTGACTTATCCATGGGCCATATCAAAATCCCTAATTTTGGCCCCAAGATCTGCCCTCGACTTATATATATGAGGTTGATTTATAGTCAAAAAGTATATGGTATTTACAAAAAGGTGGCCCTTCAGAGATGCAGATGAAATATTTTAGGGTACTCATGGCCCATGCTACACTTCTGGCATTCTGCCATGATCTTTAATCAAATAGGTTAAATAGATTTTCAACATGGATAAAGATGTCCTTCAGAAAAGCTGGAATTATCTCCAGATGCCTGAGAGGTTTTTGCAGACAGCAAAAGAGAAAAGGCACATGCAGCTGGGATTAATTTTATTGAATTAATCATTTATGTAACTATGGAGAGGTGCTGGCACAAGCAACTAATCTGAAGAGACATTAAGTAAGTCCTCCTGACCCCATACACTGGTGGCCATGAGGCCACCATTGCAGTGGGCCACCGCCACTGCAGAAATCATATGGCCTTCCTATGTCACCATCTCTCAGACGCTCCACAACAACAAGTGGATGTGCCAGATTATTAGTAAAGGCTACCTAGGGGTCCCAGTCCTGAATGGTGAGCCTCAGGAATCAGTGACCACCACAAAAGTAGCACAAGATACTGACCAATTGTGACTCCCATCAAATGTTCCCACACACACCTGTCAAAACAAATGTCACCAAAACATTATAATTATAGATATCACACCACACATAAACATGTATCAGAGCAGTGCAGAGCAAGCAATTTAAACCTGCCACCTGAACCATCATATTTCCAGTTTCTATATATGGTTGTGAAAGCTGGACAGTGAAGAAAGGTGATAGGGAAAAAATCAACTTATTTGAAAGTTTTATGAATACTCTTCTCCAGCAGAAGACAAATAAATGAGTCCTAGAGCAAATCAAGCCTGAACTCTCCCTAGAAGCCAAGACAACTAAACTGTTGTACTTTGGACATAACATGAGAAGACATGACTTACTAGAAAAGACAATGAAGCTTGGGAAGGTAGAAGGCAGTTGGAAAAGAGGGAGATCACATTCCAGATAGATAGACTCAACTGAGGGAACCACAGCCAAGTCTAAAAGTCTTGAGCAGAGCTCTCGATAACAGGGTGACTTGGAGTACTCTTTTTTGTAGGACTGCCATAAGTTGAAATTGACTTGATGGCAGTTTAACAACAACAATCTGAGCCAGCTAAATGATTACTTTCCCTTGAAGCAGCCAACAAAGACTATACTGAGGACAGGGTGGAAAAGTGGTAGCTGGGAACTAAAAAGGAAAAAGGAGAAGGGGCCCAAAGATCTATATAGCTTCACAGTCTTTCTCCAAACATTAACAACATAAGATGTGTCTCCATGCAGCTGTCAGTCAACCTCCGGAATTGGCTCACTCTTATTGCAGCATTAACTACACACCCTGATTTCCTATCAACATATGTGAAATTGGAATTGAATTTCACTGCACTTGGAAAAAGCTTGCAGCCTGGCGACTGACATGGAATGTCATCACCACACCATATAGAATATGCCCAGGATAATGCAAAAGGCTGATGCAAGAGGACTATTGCAAATACCTGTGTGAGAAGATCATGCCATGGACAAATTGTATACATATGGGCATGGCCTATGGGGTTGCTGTTGTTAGTAGATGTTGGTTGGATAGTGGTTGGTTTCTATATAGCTCTGTAAATTCTCTGTAGTAAAGTTCTGTACATAGAACTTGGAGACTCTGATTTATTATTTAGCACCTTGATCAGTTATAGATGCTAACAGCACTGCTTGATCCCAGCACAGAAGGACCACTGGTAGTGTGAGGCTCTGACATTTCCCAGCACAGATGAGCATCTTTCCTTGACAGACATGTGTATGTCTATTACAATAATAGCTACAAATTTAGACATGGTGCTCATGATGGCTATGCCTCTGGGAAACACTTTTTGAAAGCTAGGCATCATTTAAACTTCTCCAGTTATATGGCTTGGTTCAAGACTATTTGAAAGAATGTATCCCTCATATGAACCTGGCTGAGTCTTTTCTTTGGAGGGGGCCTTTCTATTACTCCCATCATTGTCTCAGAACCATTTGGTGAGGATACAGTAAATGTCCATCTCCGGGACTGCTCCCAGGCTGTGGAATTTCCTTCCAGAGTTACCCATCCCTCAGCTCTCCTTCTGCCAGCAGGTGAAGACCATTTGGTAATTAATTGTTTGTGCAAAAAAGTATTTTAAGGCAGTATGTGCACTATACTTTTATTCTTGTTATTTTCCAAATGTTTTTATATGTTGTAGTATTTTTAAAAAAGACAGCGTAAAATTGTTTTTAAACCCCTTACCACCAAGCTTTCCAGTGCATTTTGTTTTAATCTGTGTTATAAACCATCTCGGGCCCCATGTTGGAAGAAAAGTGAGATAGACATTAAAATAAATAAATATTTAAAATGTTGGAATAGAATGCAAAAATGGTGCAAAAACATTTGCTATTAGCTACAAAGTGCAAATACCAAAGGAATTGCTTTCTTAGGGCCTTTGCAGACAGCCAGAAATAGTGCAAATTGAGTGCACTTTACTTCCCTGACTCAGTGCTAGGGAATCATGGAAACTGTAGTTTATTGTGGCACCAGAGCTCTCTCACAGAGAAGGCTCAATGTCTCAGAAAAAAATACAGTTCCCATGATTCCCTAGCACTGAGGCAGGACAGTTAAAGTGGACTCAATTTGCACTATTTCTAGCAGTCTGCAAAGGCCCTTAGACACAGTGCCCAACATGGTTGTGCAGGTCTCATCTTGCTGAAATGCTATGTAATGGTAACATTAAGGTTCATTGTATGAGATGTGTTATCAGGTCCCAAGTCTGGGAACCACTGTTCTACACCAGTTACTAGTACATCTTTGGACAGTTCCAAAGCTGCAGAGCAGGAGTAAAACAGCAGTGGCTGCTCTCAAACCAGTGTTGAGTCTCAGCACCAAGACAAGGAATGGTGACACTTTTTGTCAGCACTGTGGCCATCACTCCATTTCAGCACAGCGAATCTAGAACAATTTGTCAGAGGTGTTTGTAGATGTAAGGCAAAATAAAATCACATATAAATAAGACCAACTAACAAGGTGAGCCAAGACTATGAAGATCGATGTTTGACTCTGGGTTATATTATCTTCCATACAGCACATCCCCATCCAGACAATAAATGTTATGAGCTTAAAAGGAAAGAAGAGTGCAGCTTTGAAAGACTATGAAGA